CAATACATAATGATGCAATAATGGAATTAAGCCAATATTGGGATGCCTCGTTAAGATGTTTCACATTTCAAGACTTCCAAATGGCACCGACTTTGGAAGAATATGGAGAAATTTTGAGAATGCCCCTTAAGGAGAACATGGCAGTATATCTTTATCCTGGATATTTACCATCTCGAGGCACGATAGCGAAAATTTTGGAAATTCCTAAGGAAAAGGTACGAATGGTTTGCCCAGGACAAACAGAGGGAATCTCAAGAGCTGATGTAGAAGCCCACTTGAAAGTTTTGGCAGGAAAAGAGGCTTGGGTTACATTTTGCAGAGTCTTTGCCTTATGCATATATGGAATAATCCTGTTTCCATCATCAATTGGCATAATTGACTTAGGAGCCATTAGTGTATTCCAAATGGTGGAATACCATAACGTGAATCCAGTACCAGCAATCTTGGCAGAAACGTACTTGACCTTAACTCAATGTCACGATAAAGGGAAAGGAAAGGTCAATTGTTGTATTGCATTACTGGATTTATGGATGCTTGGCCACCTTTATGGAAAGACGCTTCCTTTCAGAAAGAAGAACGACTCAGACAGTAATCCACTCATGTCTTTTAAAGGCCAATTCGTGATTGACGGAATGAGCTACATGGATTGGAAAAGAACCTTCTCAGAACTTAAAGAAAGTTCCATTTTATGGAAACTAGACTGGTGGTGGAAAGAGGAGGTTATTTACCATTGTGGTGACTTTCCGAATGTGCCTTTAATGGGACCCAGAGGGTGTATCAACTATAACCCTTCCTTAGCGTTAAGGCAACTGGCCTATAAGCAAAATGTTCCTTCTAAGAAAGAGGTGCAGGAGTTATACTTTCTACATAAGGAGGATGGGACAAAGTTATCAAACCAGAATGTCAAAGAAGCATGGCAAGAGATAGGTTACAAAGGGAAGATTGAGCTAGGGATACGTGTAGTAAACTCAAGTCCAGAATACACTACTTGGCTGAAGAGTATGATTCAAGGAGCAAATCCTTTATTTCATCCTCAAAATCCCTTGTTAGGCAATGACTTGAAAGAGATTAATGGGCAATTGGTTGAATGCTTGAAGATGAAGGAAAATGAGTTACAAGCGCTTGCTAACTCAGAGTCTAAGAATAAAGAAGAATTGGAAAAATACCAAAACGAATGCGTTGAGTTACGGAGGAAGCTAGCAAAGGAAAGAGAAGGGCATAACCTTGAAGAAACACCTGAGACTAAGAAATTGAAAAAGGAAAATGCCAAACTGAAAAGGGAAGTGCAAACTAGTGATAACAAAGTTCAAAGTACTAAAGCAAGACTTGTCAAAATAGTCAGAGAAAATGATGCATTGAAGAAGGAATTACAAGACATCAGACCCATTGAGGAGATGCAGCAAGAAATCAATACGCTCACAAGACAATTGGAAAGGAAGGTGAATGAACTAGCCAGGGTGAGAGGAAGTGCAGCTGAGACAGCACAGAACTTTGTTCAGAGGCTTAATCAACAAAATGAAGTCTTAGAAGAGTGGAAATCACTTTGCCTTGATCAAACAGAAGAAACCAAAGAGTGGATGTTAAAATGTAGGCAGATAATTGATTTGGCTAATGACAAAATTCCAGAATTTGCAAGAGCATTTAAGCAAGCTGAAGGCATGGTTCTCCCTAGAGGAACTCCATTAGAGATTGTTGAATTCTTCCATTTGTGCAATGAAATTGTAAAAGAACTCAATAGCGTGACAAAGTTCTAAATCTGTATTAACATTTGAATCATTGTATGAGGATCCAGATGACGCTTTGTGGTTGTGAAATTGTTGATTGATTTGTACTACCATCATTGTCTTAAAACCTTGAATTTTGATAGGATCCAATGTCCTTCTAATTCAATGGTCAACTTTGAATCCCCTATGAAATAATAAATTTCTGGAGGAATTTAAAGGGTGCTAGTGTCGTGAAACCCTTATGTCTACACAATGCTGGATATCTTACAAACAAACGTAAAGGTAAAACTTATTAAAATTAATTATTATGTTACACAGGTAAGCCAACATTGCGCCTCGAAAGAAAAACTCGGTTGACCAGATTCCCGCCACTGGAGCATACAACACACGATCGCGTAGTCGTGCAATGGAAAATTCAAACGTGAATGAGTCAGCGACCTTAAATGATCGGATGTCTGCAGTGGAGTCTAAAATGGCCGAAATAAGTGACATGATGAAATTGCTAACAGAGGCTCTAAAAGGACGGAGTGATGATAACCCACCACAGAATACCGTAGCAGATGAGAACGCGGCTAATAGAACAATTGAGCCAAACAGAAGATCAGATCCTAAAGTACCCACGCCAGAGAAACAAGATTCTGGGATAGGGGCCTTTAACATACCGGATGGTCCTGGGGAAGATCATGCCTACATGTTCCAAATCCCACAAGTGCTACATAAAGAGAAGGAGTTGAAAGAAGAACTTGGAGAGATGAAAGATCAATTGAAGGCTCTTCAAGGATCAAACACGTGGGGTTCCTTAGACTTGAAAGAATTATGTTTGACCCCAGAAATTGATGTTCCCAAGAAATTCAAGATGCCAAGCTTCGATAAATATGATGGTACAAGTAACCCAATTTATCATTTGAGGGCCTATTGCACAAAGATGTCCATATGGTCACAAGATGAGAAGTTTCTGATAAACTTCTTTCCTGAAAGCTTAACTGGAGCCGCATTGACTTGGTACATGCAACTAGACCAAACCAAGATCAAAAGATGGAAAGACCTTGTGGATGTTTTCATGAGACAATACAAGTTCAATCTTGATACTGCTCCGACCAGAGAACAATTGAAAGCAATGACCAAGAAATCATCAGAGTCATTCAAAGAATATGCTCAAAGATGGAGAATAGTGGCTTCGCAAGTGCAACCTCCAATGGTTAATTCCGAACTTTGCTCGTACTTCATCCGTGCATTGCCTAAGCCATTTTACCAACACATGATAGGAACACATGTCACTGATTTTGCTGATTTAATGGTAATTGGGGAAAGGATTGACATAGACATACGAGAAGGGAAGATAGCCACTTCTCAAGCTGAAAGTAGTTCACGAAAGAACTATGACCAAAAAAAGAAAGAAGGGAATGTGAACTATATTCAACCTATAAGACAAGCAGCTACCAATTCTCAAGTCCCTTATCAAGTAGAGGGAAGGAATCAAAGACAGCAACAATTTGGGTTCAGGCCTAACAAGCACGGACAGGATGGAGAGAGGAGAAATGTCCAATCCAGGGATAGTCGCCCATGGCCCAATTTTGGATTAACAAATGCTGAATTGTACCATAAACTTTTGACAGCCCAATTATTAGGTCCGCGACCTTATAAGCCTCTTGGTCCGCCTTACCCGGCATGGTATAATCCAAATGTTGTTTGTGAATACCACATGGGTGCACCTGGGCACTCAATAGAAGACTGTGTGACGTTTAAAAGGAATGTGCTAGACCTAGTTGATTCTAACCATATCCAGCTTAAAGAAGAGGGAAGCTCTACCCTTACTACTGATCCACTCCCAAATCACGAAAAACGAGTCAACGCTATTGAAGAAGAAGATGCGTGCTTCAAAAGCTCCGCAAGGATCAGGATGCCTATGAATGAGCTTTATGCTCACTTAAAGGAGTATGGCTATATGCGAGAAATGCTCCTCACGAATAATATCAGTGATCAAATGCCTGGATACTGTGAATATCATCAGGAGAAAATAGGCCATGACATAGAAAGTTGTGAACAGTTTAAAGGAGCTGTTAGAAAAATGATGGCGTTAGGGATCGTGTCTGTAAAGAAGGGAGACGCCAAAGTGTGCATGGTAGAAAAAAAACATGTTGAGCTTGTCATTAAAAATTCGAGCCCAAAAGAACGGGTTCAGGCAGTCTCTTTTGTGATAAACAAAGCCTCTGCAGATCTTGTACCTCACGTAAGACAACCAACATTGACCATAAGCACGCCTCATCCCTTTCCCTATGAAAGTGATCGAGCAGTCCCGTGGAAATATCAAAGCATTGTGGAGAACCACAAAAACCCAACGTTGATTGCCGGGACAAGCAATGAAATGGCAAACCAAGGGGGTGTTACTCGAAGTGGAAAACCATACTTACCATCTTACATTAGGAAAATGGTAAAAGAGAAAAATGCAAGTATTAACAGGCCAAAGGAAGACAATCCTAAAGAAATGGAAAAATTAGAAGATGAGTTTTTATCGATTATGAAGCAAAGTGATTACAGCATTGTGGACCAATTGAAGAAAACTCCAGCGCGTATCTCCATACTTTCTTTGATTTTGAGTTCCGAAGCGCATCGCCAAGCATTGCAAGAAGTGTTGAATCAAGCTTTTGTGCAGCCTAATATAACCCCTGAGAAGGTGGCAAGTGTAATGAATGTTGTAAAAGCCTCCTCTACCATTTCCTTTTCGGAAGAGGAAGTTACAGAAACCGCTGTCCACCAAGCCAAGGCTTTGCACATCACTTTGAAATGTGAAGGGTTCATAATCGCAAGAGTATTAATTGACGGAGGATCAGCGTTAAATGTCTTGCCGCTCTCCACATTCGAATCATTATCACTAGAGGCTTCAAGTGTACATAAAAGTAATATTGTGGTAAGAGCATTCGATGGATCAAGACGGGAAGTATTAGGATCCGTTTGTCTCTCCCTGGAGATAGGGCCAAGCAGGTTTAAGGTGGATTTCCAACTCATGAACATAGACCCAAGTTACACAATGCTGCTAGGAAGGCCATGGATTCATTCTGCTAGGGCTGTTCCTTCTACCTTACATCAAAAGGTTAAATTCATCAGTGATGGGAGAATTATAGCAGTTAAAGGAGAGGAGGAAATCATGGTGAGCAAACCAAGCTCACTCCCTTATATTGAGGCTGCAGAGAAAGATCATGGAGTTTCTTTCAAAGCCTAGAGGTTGAAGATATTTGCGATAGTACTCACAACATCAATTCCGTCGTGGCTAAAATCATGACGAAGAGTGGGTTTATGCCAGGGAAAGGTTTAGGCTCTCATTTACAAGGAATTACGTGTCCAATTAAGGTTTTGGATAATTGTAATCGCCAAGGGTTAGGGTATGAGCCTACCCTAGAAGACCAGATGAAAGACAAAGCAAGCTTGGCAAAAGGCAAAAAGGCTAGTAAATTGGAGATTCCACACATTAAAGAATCCTTCCCAGGCCCGTCTGAGATGAAGATGTAGCATGTAGAACAAGTGCCTCAATTGCAGTCGATGATTCCAACAAAGTTCTGGCGAATTGGGAGTTTGAAGAGGCCAATGATGTCATTAGCTTAGAGTAATTGTTTCAATTATGTTGTTCCTACTTTATCCACTTTTGAGCCCAGGTTTAGGTAATAGATCTTGGGTATTCACTAATGCAAACTTTTGATACACATAATTCATGAAAATGAATTTCAATTGCATTCATGTCTATTTCTTTATTCCACCCTATCTACTTCAATACATCTTTCTCCGTTTCATTCCTGTTCCTTATTTTATCTCGTTCCATATTCATTATCCAGGGATTTTGTTTCTTCTGATTCCATCTCCCACCCAGAGATTAATAAACCCTGTGAAGATGATTCATTCGTTGCCACTGATATGCATGATTGTGAGTCTGATGATGAAGACATAATCCAAACTTTTTCAAAGATGCTTGAATTGAGTGATAAGGGAATATGCCCACATGAAGAAGTGATTGAGATGGTTAATATGGGAACCGAGGAGGATCAAAGAATGCTCAAAATAGTAGATAATCCTGAAAGAGAACAAATGATTGAGTTGTTCAAAGAATACATAGATGTGTTTGCATGGTCATATAAAGACATGCCTGGGCTAGACCCAAGCATTGCTTCTCATAAAATACCATTACTTCCCAAGGTCGAGCCTAAGAAACAGAAGTTAAGGAGAATGAACACGGGGGTGTCCTTGCAAATAAAAGAAGAAGTAATAAAGCAGTTAGAAGCAGGATTTTTGGAGGTAGTAACTTACCCACAATGGGTGGCAAATATTGTTCCTGTTCCTAAAAAAGATGGTCGGATTCGAATGTGTGTTGATTATCGTAATCTAAATAATGCGAGTCCGAAAGATGACTTTCCATTACCCCACATTGATGTATTGGTCGATAATACTGCTCGAAGCTATCGCTATTCCTTTATGGATGGTTATTCAGGGTACAATCAAATCCCTATGCATGAAAGGGATAAAGAGAAAACAACCTTTACAACCCAATGGGGAACTTATTGTTATCGGGTAATGCCTTTTGGTTTGAAAAATGCTGGGGCAACTTATCAACGAGCTATGGTAGCACTATTCCATGACATGATGCATAAAGAAATTGAAGTATATGTAGATGATATGGTAGCTAAATCAGCGGAGAATGAGAGTCATGTTGGAGTCCTTAGAAAGCTATTTGGGAGATTACGCGAATATCGGCTAAGATTGAATCCTAACAAATGCATTTTTGGAGCTCTTTCTGGGAAGTTATTGGGATTCATTGTGAGTCGTAAAGGGATAGAAGTAGATCCAGATAAAGTGAGAGCAATTCGAGAAATGCCATCTCCCCAAACAGAGAAAGAAGTTAGAAGTTTCTTGGGACGATTGAATTACATTGCTAGATTCATTGCCAATCTAACAGCCACTTGCGAACCAATGTTTAAGCTGTTAAAGAAAAATTGCAAGGAGACATGGGATGATGATTGTCAAAAGGCCTTTGATAAAATTAAAGATTATTTGTTAAATCCCCCGATTTTGGTACCTCCATCACCAGATCGTCCACTAATCCTTTACCTAACAACTTTACCTCGCTCAATGGGAGCAATGCTAGGTCAACTTGATGATTCTGGAAAGAAGGAAAGAGCGATTTATTTCTTGAGCAAGAAGTTTAATGAGTGTGAAGCTCGTTATCCGGTGATTGAGCGAACTTGTTGTGGACTAGTATGGGCAACTAGAAGGCTAAGGCAATACATGCTTTACTACACTACCTGGCTAATCTCACGAGTGGACCCACTTAAATACATCTTTGAGAGCCCGCACATTGCTGGTAGAGTACTAAAATGGCAAGTTGTACTATCAGAATATGATATAAAGCATGTGATGCAAAAGTCAGTCAAAGGTAGTGCAATAGCAGATCACTTGGCCGATAATCCTTTAGGGGATGACCAGCCATTAGATTTTCAATTTCCTGATGAAGGCATATGCACTACAGAAGAAGGTTGTGGTGAAGGAAACAATGAAGAGCAAGAATGGGAAATGTATTTTGATGGAGCCGCCAACATGCATGGAAATGGGGTAGGAGCGGTGATCGTTTCACCAGAAGGAAAACAATTTCCAGTGGCCATCAAATTAGAATTTGATTGTACTAACAACATAGCAGAATATGAAGCTTGTGTTAATGGTCTTCGAGCAGCTATTACCCTTGGTATACGGTGTTTGAAGGTATTTGGTGATTCAGCTCTCATTATTCATCAAGTAACAGGAGAATGGAGAACAAAGGATGTAAAATTGATTCCCTATCAAGAACTCCTAACAGATTTGATTAAGCAATTTAAGGTTGCTAGCTTTCATCACTTGACTAGAGATAAAAACCGTTTCGCTGATGCTTTAGCCACTTTAGCAGCAATGATCCAACTTGATTGTGGAGTCCATATCCAACCCATCCAAGTGGAAGCTAGAAGCTTTCCAGCGTACTGTCTGAATGTTGAAGAAGATCGAGAAGAATATCCTTGGTTCCAGGATATTAAGGATTATATCACTAAGAGATCATACCCAGCTGGAATGACTGAGAATGAAAAGAAAACCCTTCGTCGTTTGGCTATGACATTCTTTATCAGTCAAGATGTTCTGTACAAGAGGGGTTATGATGGTACTTTACTTCGCTGTGTGAGTTCAGAAGAAGCAAAGAAAATCATGGTTGAGGTACATGAGGGCATATGTGGCACGCATGCGAATGGTCACACTATGGCCAAACAGATTCAAAGGTGTGGCTACTTCTGGCTAACAATAGAGAAAGATTGCTTTGAGCATGTCAAGAAATGCCACAAATGTCAGATCTATGCTAATAGGATAAATGCTCCTCCAATCCCATTACATAATTTAGTATCACCCTGGCCATTCTCAATGTGGGGCATTGACATTATTGGCCCAATTAACCCAAAAGCTTCGAATGGACATCGCTTCATCCTTGTCGCGATTGACTATTTCACAAAATGGGTAGAAGCAAATTCATTTGCTAGCATCACGCAAAAGACGTTCCTTAAATTCATGAAGACAAATATTTTATGCCGATATGGGATTCCTGAAAGGATCATTACTGATAATGGTCCCAATCTCAATGGAACGGAAGTCAGGAACTTTTGCGAGAAGTTCCAAATCAAGCATCATAATTCAGCCCCGTATAGACCTCAAATGAATGGAGCAGTTGAAGCAGCCAATAAAAATATTAAGAAGATCATTGGAAAAATGACAGTAACTTATAAGGATTGGCATGAGATGCTTCCCTATGCTTTACATGGTTATCGTACTACTGCACGCACATCCATAGGGGTGACCCCATACTCCCTTGTTTATGGAATGGAAGCTGTTACACCCATTGAGATAGAAATACCATCTTTAAGAGTATTGGCAGAGGTAGATTTAGAAGAAAATGAATGGATACGAACCCGATTTGAGCAACTTAACATGATTGAAGAGAAAAGGCTCATTGCAATGTGTCATGGACAATTGTACCAAAAGAGAATGGCAAGAGCTTTTGATAAAAAACTTCGCCCACGGGAATTCAGTGCTGGGGATCTTGTACTCAAGAAAATATTGCCTAACCAAGAAGATAATAGAGGCAAATGGGCTCCGACCTATGAGGGACCTTATGTTGTCAAACATGCCTTTTCTGGAGGAGCACTGATCCTAGCTGACATGGACGGTCAAGAGTTAGCAAAGCCCATTAATGCAGATGCTGTCAAGCGTTACTTTGCTTAAACAGAAAATGAAAAAGAATGAAGCGCTCGTTAGGTTGAAAACCTGTAAAGGCAACCTAGGCAAAAGTTAGAGCTAATAGAAAATGAAAAGGAAAGAATAGCTCGTTAGGTTAAAAAACCTGTAAAGGTAATCTAAGCAAAAGTTAGAGCTAAAAAAAAAGGGGGGGCAAAGCCATGATAAGAAGAAGAAGAGTTCGCCAAGACAAAAGGATGTCTTAGGAGAAGAAAAGGAAGGCATCAAAAGTTAATTATCTATGTTTGGGAAAGTTGTCTCCATCGTCTCTCATATTATGCATATCAATAGCAGCTCAGTGAAACACCTGTTGGGGTTTTGAAAAGCTAAAGGAAGAGATGTGATTAAGTAAATCCATATATCCCATTCGCGCTTTGGCCATTTGTACTCATAAACCAAGATATTCCCATTTCTCTATGAATTTTAGCATCAGTGAATGAATTTTTTCCGCCCTTGCTCCTTTGAGACCATCTTTCTTCTCGTTTCGTGTTATCATATTCAAATTCATATCCCCTATATTACAGCAGGTTCGCATTCAAGGAACAATATTTTGACGCATTTACTTGACGTAGAATGCTGGTATCTTTATTCTCGCCTTTCGCCCTTGAGGTATCAAGATCATTACGTAGGTGTAAAATGATAATGAGAGCATGTCTACTATCAGTGTTTGGTTATAATAGTTAATCTCATTAATTTGAAGACAAGATCAAGTGACGAGAATTTGGTCATTGGAATTTTCTAAAGAGGGGCAACGGCATACTGTGATACTACACCTATTAATGAATAAAGGTTAAATAACAGACTTGGAGGTATTACCTTATGTTCGAAATGATTTATTCAATGTGCACAAAATTTTCAAAAAAAAAGATAAATACTAAGATAGTTTTCAACATTAAGCTTTCCAATAAAATTTTTGCAATACATTTGCATTATTCATACATTTGCATTGGGGCAAATAAGCACGTCTTACCCTTTACATTGCAAATCATCCATCCAATGTATATTGTACATATTTTTAGCGCCTATAAACATCATACATGGCACATTACCACATTGCATGCCTTGTCATAGAAACACGCCACATTTAAAAAAAAAAAATCATGCATTGCATATCACCCCATTGCATGCATTGCTACAGAAGTATGCCCTATTTAGATTAGGGCAAACTAAAACTTGCAAAACCTAAGGAGTAAGCGAAGAATTAAACAAACTCACCTTTGAGTTTCTCATATTTTCCCCGTGAGATGAAACCTATTCTCACACTCAAAGCCCAGTACCGGCTGGCACGATTCCTTAAAGCCCTGTAACGGCAGGCCCCCCAAGCCCTGTAACGGCAGGCACCCCAAAGCCCTGTTACGGCAGGCACCCCAAAGCCCAGTACCGGCTGGCATGATTCTTTAAAGCCCTGTAACGGCAGGCACCCCAAAGCCCTGTCACGGCAGGCACCCAAAGCCCAGTACCGGCTGGCATGATTCTTTAAAGCCCTGTAACGGCAGGCACCCCAAAGCCCTGTTACGGCAGGCACCCCAAAGCCCAGTACCGGCTGGCACGATTCTTTAAAGCCCTGTAACGGCAGGCACCCCTAAGCCCTGTTACGGCAGGCCCTCAAGCCCAGTACCGGCTGGCACGATTCTTAAAGCCCTGTAACGGCAGGCACCCCAAAGCCCCTGTTACGGCAGGCCCTCAAAGCCCAGTACCGGCTGGCACGATTCTTTAAAGCCCTGTAACGGCAGGCACCCCAAAGCCCTGTTACGGCAGGCACCCAAAGCCCAGTACCGGCTGGCACGATTCTTAAAGCCCTGTAACGGCAGGCACCCCAAAGCCCTGTTACGGCAGGCACCAAAGCCCAGTACCGGCTGGCACGATTCTTTAAAGCCCTGTAACGGCAGGCACCATAAAGCCTGTTACGGCAGCCCCAAAGCCCAGTCCCGGCTGGCACGATTCTTTAAAGCCTGTAACGGCAGGCACCCCAAAGCCCTTTACGGCAGGCACTCAAAGCCCAGTACGGCTGGCACGATTCCTTAAAGCCCTGTAACGGCAGCACCCCAAAGCCCTGTTCGGCAGGCACCACAAAGCCCAGTACCGGCTGGCACAATTCTTTAAAGCCCTGTAACGGCAGGCACCACAAAGCCCAGTATCGGCTGGCACAATTCTTTCAAGCCCTGTCACGGCAGGCATCTCCGAGCCTTGTAAAGCAGGCATCCACCTGGTCCTTTGGAACATAGGCAATTCATCTCCATTGAGGTTTTGTTTGTTTTAGTTCGTAATCACATTTCATTTTAAAAAAACCCTTCTTTTATTTTGTTTTGTTTTGTTTGTTGTAGATACCTAAGAGTCTTGCCCCTCCTAACAAAATACATGTTTCTCTCTTCATTCATTTCTAAGATAAAATATCATCTCATGAAATCTCACTTAGAAATCAAATGAAGAGGGGCATCTAGTCAACATATATTTTTTTGGATCGTTGTTGTCATTTGATTATTTTCATTCACATCACATTGCTAAAAATCAAAAATCATGTCATGTGTTTGTTATGCAATAGTCTCGCATTTAATCATATCTTGTCGTGTCAGGGGCAATTAGGTCTTTTCATAGGTATTGCATGGCCGACCAAAATACATGTTCTATCTTTACTTGTCACTTATGTAAGAATTCAAAAACACACTTTTTCATATACTTACATAAGAAACAAGTAAAGAGGGGCAACTGTGAACACCGTATTTTGTCCGGGCATTTTTTTTTTAAAATAATAATAATAATAATCAACATCATCATCTAACAAAAAAATCCTCTCTCCTTTTACCTTAGATAACCCTTCTCTTAAAAGAAAATTAATTAAAAAAAAAATATACTATGAAATTGAATAATTAAAAAAATAAAATAAAGAGGTAGTATCACGTGCATGCCAATTTGAACTGCCCAGCTTCAGCAACAAAAACACAGCAGACATGAAACAGACAAAAGAAGGAAAACGAGAGAGAGAACAGTCAGCCACGCATGCACGAAGAGAACGCCGGAAAAACGCACGAGCAGACGCAGAAAAAAGAACTTTCAGCCATGCAGAGAAACCAGAACACGTCAACGCACAGCCACAGCTACACAGAGACACACACAGAAAAAACAAGCAGAGACGCACAATGAAAGGAAATAGAAACATGCACGTACACGAGAAAGCAGAAAGAAAACACAGCACCAACACATACGAAACACACACAGAAAAAGTAGAGGCATGGACACGACAGAAGAAAAAGGAAGCAGAAAGGCAGCACCCACACGCAAAGAAAAAGAAGAGCCATGCAGAAATGAAAACAGAGCAGAGAGCTTTCGGCGCACGCAGAAAATGCAGCGGAAGAGAAGGGAAAAGGAAGAAGCAGAGAAAGGGAGTAATCATTCAGCTCTTCCATCCTCTATATAAGGAGTGACAGGGCTGGGAGAAAAGAGGAGGAGACGGAGGAGGTGAAACAGAAAAAGAAAGACCGAGAGGACTGAAAACAAAAAAAACAGAGACAGAGGAGAGTCCGGGAGAGGAAGAGAAGAGAGAAAGAAAATAGAGCAGAGAGGAAGCAGCAGAAAAGGAGAGGAAAAATGGAGAAACGAGGCGAGAAAAACTGGAAGAAGGAGATCAGAAGTAAAACAGAGCATAGGAGAACTGAGAGAGAGCACGAGGACGAACGAAGACTGGAGACGAAAAGAATAACAGAGCAACTGGAGAGAGAGAGAAAGTGTGGAAGGAAAAGGAGAGAATCACCTAAACTCTGCGTCTTCATCATTTTTCCTCCCCTCCTCATCCGCGTGAGCATTTCCGCTTTCGTCAAATCACACACTTCTTCATCCCTCGTCGTTTCCTGTCAGTTTGCAGGGGCTACTGCCATCACTGACGGTGCACTCGTTCTCCTCTGTGTCTTCATCTCCTCTTCCTTTCTCAGTTACGGGCATCGCGGGAGCGTGTGTAAAGTTAGTTCACACCTTATTAATTGCTTCTATGAATTTTATATCCAGATGAATAAGTCTCGAATATACGTATTTATTTTTTATGCTCATATGCTAAGCACATATATATATTTTTTTAAAACTTAAAGTAGGAGATTTTGAGAATTTTTACAGACATTTAAAATGATCTCATACCATAAAGATCAATAAGATTTTACAAGTATGAGGATCAATTTTGTAGATACTTATACGGGTTCTAAAGGCCCTTATTAAAAACAACTCTCTTCTTTATACTAAATATTTAAGTTCCATGTGAGATTTTAAGAATCTTCGTAGGAACTTAAATTAGTCACATTATTATGTGGGACAGTAAGTCCTCGTAGATATAGTGATTTTCAATTTTTGTAATAAATAAGTAATTTTGCAAATAATCATATAATATACAATTTAAGAAACTTAATTAACCAATTAAATGTATTTAAATGGTAACCATATTTACCAATTATATCTTTTAGCCACGTGAAATTTTTGAATCTCCGTAGGCTTCTAAGATCATCGTATTATCGTGTGAGTCAATAAGACTCTGCGGATATAACGATTTAGTTTTTAAAATATATATACATATATATTATATAATTAATTAAATCAATTAATTAAATTTAATTCCTGTCTCGTGTGAGATTTTAGAATCTCCGTAGATATTTAGGATAATCATATTACCGTATAAGTCAATAAGGCTTTGCAGGTATGATGATTAAAATTCTTCAAAACATGTATACATACTTAAAATATATTTTTGATACTTAAAATGTACATAAGAATATAAATAAATAAATTAAATTGCCAAACTCTTCTATCATGTGAGATTTCAGAATCTTCGCAGATACTTAGAGCAATTGCATTACCGTATGAATCAATAAGGTTCTACAGGTACTGCAATTAAATTTCTAATCATAAAATATAAGAAAAATAATTTTAAACCCTTTCATTTCTTTATTCAAAATTTAAAAATTGAGAAAATAATTAAAATTGAATTACCTTTTGCAATTTAAAACACA